GAAGCCACCCTGACTCTTGTGTTTCAAGCCTGCCTCAGATACCCAGACTTCAGGGGTATCTGAGGCAGGCTTGAAACACAAGAGTCAGGGTGGCTTCTGGGTAATACCAGATGGCTAGGCCTCAGACTGACGAAGCCTCTTGGATGAGGGGCGAAACGTTTCTTTTTAACAAAAAAACGAAGTCCAGATGACATGATTCAACCTTTTTTGTTGTATTTCAAAGATACGAAGATATAAGGTTTCTTGTTTATTAACAAGAGTCAGTGGATTATTCTAGTTATTTATGGTTGTCGGCCGCTGACACAGCGGCTGGGACCCGTTAAGCCGCAGGTGGGTCACTGGCAGTCATCCATCTGGACTATTTTGTACCTCTTTCAACCAGCCTGTCAGCGGACAGTGAAACAGCCGTGAGCGGCTGGTGGTGATCCAAACTGGATTGTCAGCCACGTGCATCCTCTTACGCAATCAAAAGCCAGACACCGACCCGGCCCGCCCATCCAGCACATTATTCTAGCTGGGTCGGGCGCGGGCTGGCCCAGGTTAGAAATGACAGCACTACTTTGTGCCCACCCCACCACAGAATTTTAAGAATTGTTTACTATGAATGTGGTAGAAGGTAGAATGCCCCAGATCTTGAGGGTTGAGGCGTCTGACTCATGTGGGGTCTTTAATGACATGTTGGTATCAGGCTAAGAGGAATTCAAAAACCTGGATGGAGGAGAACCACAGAAAACAGGTCACCTCATTTGGGACAGGGATACTGGTAGGTGAACCCTTCTGGACCTAGGCCTGGGGTGGTTAAGCTGTGGTTCCTGTATTTTTGCTGAAAAAGCTACACCTTCATGTGGACCCACCACCTGCAGGGAGAAGAGTCAAGTAAAGTCCTATGTGAGCTGGGTGGATGGGGAGGGTCGGAGCTGAATCTTGGTCTCATAAACTAGTTCTGACTTGTTACTGTCAGATGTATTTGTAGAACAGCTTCAGGGTTTAGGGTTGAAGTCGTGACAACATGATATAAAGAAGGATCTGGGTCATATCTCAGTCTGTATTCTTTTCAGGACCCTGATATGTTCCAGTTTGGAAAGACAAAGATCTTCTTCCGAGCAGGTCAGGTGGCTTACCTGGAAAAGCTTCGGACCGATAAGTTCCGATCGGCCTGCATCAAGATCCAGAAGACGGTCCGAGGCTGGCTGCAGAGGATCCGGTACCATAAGATCCGCAGGTCTGCCATAACCCTGCAAAGATATGGTCGAGGATACCTGGCTCGCAGGTGAGCTGCTTCTCACGCGTTGATTGGTCTTGAAGGTCTCTGATGAGTCTGACGTCTCATCATGTAAACGCTGCTCCTCTTCCTCCTCCTCCAGGTACGCAGAGTTTCTGCGTTTGAACCGGGCTGCCCTCATCTGTCAGAAACAGTACCGCATGGTCCGAGAGCAGAGAAACTTCCTGAGGATCAGGCAGGCTGTGGTCACCATCCAGGCCTACACCCGAGGAATGTTCACACGCAGGATCTACTGGGAGGTAAGGTGGAGGCGCTCTGACCTCTGACTTTTCTTCATCCAACACATTTTCTGGGTGTTTAGTTTTTCACCACAGTGTTGGTTTTATTGATAAAGTGCAGCCTTCCAGCAGGTGGCAGCAGAACCACAGAGAGGCTGATCCTGGATCTGTAAAACCTTGATTTCTGCTTTAAAGTCAGAGTCAGAGTTTCTTTATTGTCATTCGCACCTCATGTGGTACATGTGGTGGAGCGAAATTATGTACACAGGGTCCCAGTTACATCCAACAATCAAATGTATAAGAAAAACAGTAATAACATCTAAGATATGAACTAAGAAAAACATAAATATACACTAAGCACTCATAACATAAAACATTGAACATCAGCACAAACATGATTGTCAGGTCTCTCTTGTTCAGGTCTCTCTTGTAAACGAGTCCTCGAGGCTCAATAGGATTACCTGTCTAAATAAAGGTTGAATGAATTGCCTCCTGCCTGATGTAAACCTGGTTTTTATCATGTTTTATTGGTTTGTTTTAGACAGGAACAGATACAAATCTGTCTTTCATTTTCATCAGAGAGATAAAGTCCAGTTCCACAGACTGACAAATTGGGGAAACGTTCCGCTTCTGATTGTCTTGTTGTTGAACTGATGTTCCTCAGTTTCTGCTGCACCACAAGGCCATGATCATCCAGAAGAACGTGCGCGGCTGGTTGCAGAGACAGAGGTTCAGACGAGCACGTGCCGCCGCCATCATCATCCAATGTGGCTTCAGACGGCTGCAGGCCAAGAAACAGCTGAATCAGCTGAAGATCGAAGCTCGCTCTGCAGAGCGCCTGAAGAAGCTCAACACCGGCATGGAGAACAAGATCATGCAGCTAAAGAGGAAGATGGACGAGCAGGTGCGTGCATAGACACGCGTGCACACTCGAGTGAGCACAGTGAGACTAACACGAAGGTGTTTGTGTTTCAGTCCATAGAGATGAAGTCTCAGAACGAGCAGCTGCTGACTGTCAACACCTCCCTGGGCTCAGAGGTCACCAAGCTGCAGAAGGAGTTGGATCTAATCCGGGGCCAGCAGGTTGAGGGAGGCCAGGTGCTGTCACTGCAGGAGCAGGTGGAGAGGCTGCAGGAGGAGCTGCAGGAGGCGCAGGCCGAGAGGAAGAGGCTGCTGGAGGAGCACAGCAATGAGAAGATGCACCTCACACAGGTGTGGAGCGAGGGGCGGGGCTTAATCTACAGTTTAATTACCATTCAGAGGACTGATTATAAAACAATTATTGATAAATCTATGATTACACAGAGCCTCACATGGGTGAGGAGAAGAGAGCGGAGCTTTAGAATCCTCACCATTTCATGACCTTTCAGAACCCTGCAGTTTTGAACAAATGAATCCAGAATCAGACTTCAAACTATATAGTGCAGAAAATCTCCCAGACCCTGTTGTAGAGCTGTCATTTCTAACTCGGGCCCAAATTCGGGCTGGGCCGGGCCGTAATAATGTGCTTAATGTGCGGGCCAGGCTGGTCTCGGACTTTGATGCGGTTTTACAAATCATACAGCACAAAGAAACTAAATAAGAAAGCACAATATAAAATTGTGTTAATCTACTTGTTGAGGAGGAGGCAGGTCCGACCGGCCGGTTGATAGACGTAAAAACAATTTCCAGTTAAGCTCAGATGGATCAGCTGATCATTGGCCATGCGCGTCGCCACACCTGCTGTCATCTGCGGTGAAGGAAGTAGCAGCATCTACAAAAGACCAGGCGAGCGGCACGTTCAATTAAAATAGCCTTGTTCTATATTTTTCAAAATAATATTACTCTAAAAATATTTTTGTTCATCTGTATAATAACCTATCTTTAGAGCTGATTTTTTTAGGCTATTTGTTTTGTATGTTAATATCCATTTGGTGAAACAAGAAATCTTATATCTTCCTTTCTTTGCAATACATTTTTCAAATATCACGTCAAAAGCAATAAAAGCTTAATTAAAAAAATGTTTTTTTTGGGGTTCGTGCTCTGAAAAAAAGATATGGGTTTGGGCTGGGCCGGATTTTTTATGCCTAAATGCAACTCCACCCTGTTGTAATTCCTGTTGTACAAACCGGATTCCAAAAAAGATGTGACACTAAACAAATTGTGAATAAAATCTGAATGCAATGATGTGGAGGTGCCAACATCTAATATTTATTCAGAATAGAACACAAATCACAGATCAAAAGTTTAAACTGAGAGAATGTATAATTTTAAGGGAAAAATCTGTTGTTTCCAAATTTCATGGCGTCAACAAATCCCAAAAAAGTTGGGACAAGTCCATTTTTACCACTGTGTGGCATCCCCCCTTCTTCTTACAACACTCAACAACGTCTGGGGACAGAGGAGACCAGTTTCTCCGATTTAGAAATAGGAATGCTCTCCCATTCATGTCTAATACAGGCCTCTAACTGTTCAATCGTCTTGGGCCTTCTTTGTCGCACCTTCCTCTTTATGATGCGCCAAATGTTCTCTATAGGTGAAAGATCTGGACTGCAGGCTGGCCATTTCAGTACCCGGATCCTTCTCCTACGCAGCCATGATGTTGTGATTGCTGCAGAATGTGGTCTGGCATTATCGTGTTGAAAAATGCAGGGTCTTCCCTGAAAGAGATGACGTCTAGATGGGAGCATATGTTGTTCTAGAACCTGAACATAGTTCTCTGCATTAATGGTGCCTTTCCAGACATGCAAGCTGCCCATGCCACAAGCGCTCATGCAACCCCATACCATCAGTGATGCAGGCTTCTGAACGGAGCGTTGATAACATCTTGGGCTATCCTTGTCCTCTCTGGTCCGGATGACATGGCGTCCCAGTGTTCCATAAAGAACTTCAAATCGTGATTCATCTGACCACAGAACAGTCTTCCATTTTGCCACACTCCATTTTAAATGACCCCTGGCCCAGTGCAAACGTCTGAGCTTGTGGAGCTTGCTTAGAAATGGCTTCCTCTTTGCACTGTAGAGTTTCAGCTGGCAACGGCGGATGGCACGGTGGATTGTGTTCACTGACAATGCTTTCTGGAAGTATTCCTGAGCCCATTCTGTTATTTCCTTGACAGTGGCATTCCTGTTTGAGGTGCAGTGACGTTTAAGGGCCCGGAGATCACGAGCATCCAGTAGAGTTTTACGGCCTTGACCCTTACGCACAGCGATTGTTCCAGATTCTCTGAATCTTTTGATGATGTTATGCACGGTTGATGATGATAACTTAAACGTCTTTGCTATTTTACGCTGGGTAACACCATTCTGGTATTGCTGCACTATCTTTCTGTGCAACAATGGTGGAATTGGTGATCCTCTTACCATCTTGGCTTCTGAGAGACACTGACACTCTGAGAAGCTCTTTTTATACCCAATCTTGTTGTCAATTGACCTAATTAGTGTTAATTGGTCTTCCAGCTGTTTGTTATATGCTCATTTTCCTTTTTCCAGTCACTTATTGCTACTTGTCCCAATGTTTTTGGGATTTGTTGACACTGTGAAATTTTGAATCAACATATTTTTCCTTTAAAATGTTACATTTACTCAGATTAAACTTTTGATCTGTCATCTATGTTATATTACGAATAAAATATTGACATTTGCATCTCCACATCATTGCATTCAGTTTTTATTCACAATTTGTTTAGTGTCCCAACTTTTTTGGAATCCGGTTTGTCTTTCCTGTTTTACTTCCTGTTTTAGTTCCTGTTGTAAACCATGTATTAGTTACTGTTCAAGACACTGTTGTAGTTCTTGTTGTAGACCCTGTTGTCAGCTGTTTGTTTTCTCAGTCAGCCATCTTATTTACATCTCTGCATATCATAAACTGGCCAACTGCTTCATTTTTTCACTTTAGACTTCTGTCTTTTGTAGGATGTTTTTATTAGTAAATATTTTTGACATTTTTAAATCTGTTTAGAATCACCAAAGTTCATACTCAATAATCCAGGTATAAAATCCAACAATGTTCAGTCAGGTCATCTGGATGGTTTCTTTTTTAAGTCAAGATGTTTCGTCCTTCATCCAAAGGACTTCTTTGATTTGAGGAGCCACCAAAACAAAACTGATTCCCACAACAGCAGCATACTCAATAGTGAGGAGGAGGAAGAGAAGAAGAAGAAGAAGAAGTCATTGTTGTTGTCCTTTGGATGAAGGACGAAACGTCTCGGCTTAAAAAAGAAACCATTCAGAATGACCTGTTTAGAATTGTTGTTGTTTACATTGTGGTGCATCATAAATAAATTCTCACTCCCACCCCCAGTGAGGCCTCACCTGAGGAGAGGTCCTTTGGGTGGGCTGCTTGGTTCTGCAGCTGACAGGTTTGCTTTATATTGAATAATGTTTGACTTCAGAGGCTGGAGGAGCTGGAGACCGAAAACTCTCTGCTGAAGAGCGAAAAGGAAGAACTGAACCAACGCATCCTGCAGCAGTCCAAGACCTCTGCAGGTGAGAGTTTCTCCTGCACACCTGGTCCCAGGTCCTGGTCTGTCTGACCCGTATTAATTATGTTGTGTTTGTGTGTCAGAGGAGACAAGTAGCGCCTCCCAGCAGTCCGAGCTGGACGGTGAGCGGCAGCGCTACCAGAACCTCCTGAAGGAGTTCTCCAGACTGGAGCAGAGATACGACAACCTAAAGGAGGAGATGTCTCTGAGCAAGGTGACATCTGACCCCAGATCAGTTATAGGCAGAACCTACAGAGAGCTGCAGTTCTCTGAGCTCTGATAGGGGGTCAGGTCTTCAGTTCCTCTAATTGAACTTCTGAAGATATTCACTAGTATTTGTCTCCCCCGGAGTTAAAAGAAAACCCAAAACTTTAATTAATTTAATTAAATGTAAATTTATTATTATTATTATTTATTAATTTACATTCATCATTATTTATTCAATTCATATTCAGTTTGATTGAATCTGAAATGATTTAATTTAAAATACCACCTGCAGATTGTTTCATCACAGGTCTAATCTGACTCCTCTTTCTCCTCCTTCAGTTCCACCCCAGCCACCAGAGGAACCCATCCAATCAGAGCAGCCTGGAGTCAGACTCCAACTACCCATCCTTCTCCACCTCTGAGGTGGGAGACACCGAGGACTCCATCCAGCTGGTGGAGGTGGGTCAAGGGGCCGAGCTTCTTCTTCCTGTTTGAACACGCCTGTATGTTCTGTTTGAAGTAGGTAAATGTGTTGTGGTGTTCCTGGTTCCAGGAGATGGGGGTAGAGAAGGCTGCCATGGACATCAGTCTGTTCATGAAGCTGCAGAAACGAGTGCGAGAACTGGAGACGGAGAGGAAAAGGCTGCAGGTCAACCTGGACAAGGTGGAGGAGCTAGCAAAGCACAGGGTGAGGGTTTCTGTCTGTCAGCTGGTCCTTTCTTTCTGATGAACATTATTGTCCACATCCTGATTATTTCATAATTTTTCTTCACTGAAGAGTTCAGAGGCCAAAATTACCTCTTCTGAGCATGAGACCTCAGATCTGGCCTACAACAACCTGAAGGTACCAACTGGACCTGATCAGTCTTTATTTGTAGTGAAATCTGAGGCGCTGACTGTGCTTTACCTAGTTATAAACTCACATGAACGTCTGTTTCTCTGCAGAGACAGGAACTCGAAACAGAAAACAAAAAACTGAAGAACGACTTGAACGAGCTGAGGAAGACTGTCGCTGAGCGAGCGTCACAGAATAACTCATCCAACGAGCTGCAGGACAGCTACAATCTCCTGCTGAGTCAGCTGAAATCAGCCAATGAGGAGCTGGATGCCCGCAGGGAGGAGGTGCTTATCCTCAGGACTCAGATAGTGAGCAGCGCTCAACTGCAGGAGAGCAGCCAAAATACTGTGAGTCTCATTCAGTCTTTCATGCATTAATTTATTAATGAAAGCTGTCTGACTTGTGTTGAGTTCTTTAACATTTAGAATCAGTTTCAGCATAATAAATAAAAAGTTGATGCATTAAAACTTGTCTTTATGTTTGCAGATAAAACACACCATTGTCTGCATAAAGTGTTAGCTTGTGTTTGCAGCTTTCAGAAGTTCTAGCTCTAAAATGAAGATGTTTTCCTGTGTTAAAATAACTTGTTTCTGCAGGAATCTGAGAAGGAATCTGAGCTGAACAACAGCACAGAGCCGATGGACAAAGAGGAGGCGCTGCAAGCATATCATGGACTCTGTGAGTCCAAAAAGTAAGTCCTGCTCTTCAAGAAATTTGATTTAAGAGGCAGTTTATGTATTTGCTTTAAACTGAACCCACAGTGTCTTTTAGTTGAAATGTCTCATAATATTTTCCTGTATTTACAGGAGAAGTGTGACTAACACTCATTTCTCTTTATCTCAGTGTTCAGTTATTTTGTTGTTCATCATTCTGAAGTTTTGTCTCTACATTCTGCACCATCAGCTGCACCTCATGACCATGGTCAATCAGGAGTAGATAAAATTAAATATATTATTTTCCTAAAGGAAACAGGGAACAAGAGCTCTCATGAAACCTTGTTCAGGGAATAAAAGCTGCAGCAGAGGAACCTACAGAGCTCATATTTGTGTTCTTTTCTATTGGCACCTTTCATCTTTTTGATTTGTTTTCACTTTTTTCTTCTTCTGCGGTTTTAGATGTAGATCTGGCACCCCTCCTGCTCATAACAGTGAGATTATAAAGACAGCAAAAGACTGAATCTGACTCTAATAAAACAAATCATTATGTGTTTTTAAAGAGCACAATATAATAATAATAAATATTTATAAGTATAATTTTCAATGAGTTTTATTAAATCTTTATTTTGTAATCATTTTTTAAATTTCACAATTGTTGAACTGATAAACTCCAGAAGTGGGTTGGAAACTTCTTTTTGGACTTTGTTAGTTTTGCTCAGGGTTCCAGATGAGAATTAAATTAAAAACGAACCCGGAGTTTTTGAAAATATTTCTGTTTTAGATGAACTCTGAGCTCGGCTCTTTGGGGTAAATTACGGTGATCAAGTGAAAATCAAACCTGTCTTCTCTTTTGTAACCAGACTGAGCTCCAAGCAACTTCACATTAGGCCGAATAACTGATTTATAGAAAATCTGAACCTTTAAGCTCAACCCCAAAAAGTTAAATCTGGTCCTCTGGACATTAAAAAAAAAAAAAAACAAAGCAAATCAACAAAAAAAAGTAGAAACTTTTTGTCTTTCATCCAAGAGACTTCCTCAGTCTGAGGTGCTGTATTCAGCTCAGTCTCTTAAATAGCACCTTCTCAGAGTGGATCAACCAGTTTGCTGCTGACAACCAAAACCAGCTGATCACATGCTCAAGAAGGACCATCAGCCTAACAATGGATCATTAGCACACTGATGGCTGTTTACTGTTCACAGAGGGCTGAGTGATACTAGCAATCACAGCATTGTAAGAGGGGGGCAGTTGAACCTAGAGGCTCCACCCCTGTTTAATGATGGACGATTTATTTTCACAAAGATGGCCTCCTTTACTCCTCTCTCAAACCATCGTTCCTCTCTGTCCAGGATGTGAACATCTTCATCCTTGAAAGAGTGACCGCTGGCCTGGAGATGAGTGTAGACCACAGAGTCCTGGCCTGATGATGTTGATCTTCTGTGCTGGGCCATCCTTTTGGCCAGTGGCTGTTTTGTTTCCCTGATGTAAGACTGATCACAGCCCTCCTGACACTGAACAGCATACACAACATTACTCTGTTTGTGCCGGGGGACTGGATCTTTGGGATGAACCAGTCTTTGCCGTAATGTATTTTGGGGTTTAAAAGCCACTGGGACTTTATGTTTAGAAAATAAACGTCTCAGTTTCTCTGATACTCCCTCAACATACGGAATGACCACTGGTCTGGGTCTGGGTTCCTCCTTTTCACCTGATGGCTGACTGGAGTCCTGTTTGGGTTTCTTCTCTGCTTTCAGGAAGGCCCAGTTAGGATATCCACATTGCTCTAGAGCCTGTCTTGTGTGGGATTTCTCCTTCTGCCTGGCTCCCGAGTTAGTGGGGACGCTGTCTGCTCTGTGATACAGAGTCCTGATGACTCCTAACTTGTGCTCCAAAGGGTGATGGGAGTCAAACTGCAAATACTGGTCTGTGTGGGTGGGTTTGTGGTACACCTCAGTTTGCAAATGTCCTCTATCAGAGACTGAGACCTCATAGTCTAAGAAAGCCAACCTGCCATTTTTTACATCTTGTGTGAACTTGATGTATTTATCCACAGAGTTGATGTGGTCAGTAAAATGTTGGACTTCCTGAGATTTAATTTTAACCCAGGTGTCATCAACATACCTGAACCAATGACTTGGTGGTATCCCTGAAAAGGACTTCATCAGGGATGAAGATGTTCACATCCTGGACAGAGAGGAACGATGGTTTGAGAGAGGAGTAAAGGAGGCCATCTTTGTGAAAAGAAATCGTCCATCATTAAACGGGTGGAGGCCTACGTGTTCAACTGTCCCCCTCTTACAATGCTGTGATTGCTAGTATCACTCAGCCCTCTGTGAATAGTAAACAGTCATCAGGTGCTAATGATCCATTGTTAGGCTGATGGTCCTTCTTGATCATGTGAGCAGCTGGTTTTGGTTGTCAGCAGCAAACTGGTTGATCCACTCTGAGAAGGTGCTATTTATAAGACTGATCTGAATACAGCACCTCAGACTGAGGAAGGCTTTCGGATGAAAGACGAAACGTTTCTACATTTTTTTTGTTGTTTTGCTTTGTTTTGTTTTTTTGAATGTCCAGAGGACCAGATTTAACTTTTTTGGATTTTTCTACCTGGATTATTGAGCATGCATCAGGATACTTTAAGCTCAACATGATTGTCTGATCTGTAAACCTCTGTGTTTCAGTGTTTTTTGTGTCCACCTACACCTCAGTCTCCCCCTGCCTTGTCCCTCACTCTGCTTTGTCTCCTCCTGCCTCTTTGCTTCTGGACGCCAGTAACCTGCAGGACTGGGGTCTCCTAAACGAAGACGGGGAGCTGGGTTTGGCCTACCAGGGTCTGAAACAAGTGGCCAGGTCTCTGTGTGCTGCTTCAGTCCCCTCTACCCTGAGTGTGAAGGCTGATTATGTCTGTCTTTGGACACCCCCCCCCCCCCTATCCCCAGGGGGGTCTGAGATAAAACATGACCTGTTTCCATCCAGAACCTGTAGTCCCATTAGGCACTCCTGGAGGCCCAGCTGCAGACCCTGAGTTTTGTAGCCAGTCTCTGAGTGGTTTTGGTTGTGTGTAACCCCTTGTTGTGTTGTTGCTGTGTGTGAGTAACTCTATGGTCCCATCAGGCTCCTGGAGGCCCAGCTGCAGACCCAAACTCGGCAGCACCGGGATGAGCTGGAGGCTCTGCACACTCAGATTGAGTTGCTGAAGGAGGACCTGGAGAAGAAGCAGGATATCCTGAACTACATGGGGTCTCTGTCTCCGGACGCCAAGGTGGAGTACAGTGTCCAACAGGAGATCACTCGGCTCACCAACGATAATCTGGTGAGGACCTTCACCTCTGCAGAACCTCTCAGATATCATGGTTCCTGTTCTGACTCATTTGTTTCTGCCTCCAGGACCTGAAAGAGATGGTGGAGAAGCTGGAGAAGAATGAGAGGAAGCTGAAGAAGCAGCTAAGGATCTACATGAAGAAGGTCCAGGAGCTGGAAGGTAACAAGAGATCCAATCCTTCTGAAGGTTCGTTCTGTAGTAGAACCGTCACTGACAAAGTTTCTGCTTCTGTTACAGCCACTCATGCTGCAGCTCAGAACCGGAACACGAAACCAGAGCTGATCCGTCAGGTGACCGTTCAAAGGAAAGAGAAGGACTTTGAGGGAATGCTGGAGTACAACAAGGAGGACGAGGCCCAGCTCATCAAGACCCTCATCACAGGTGAGACGTTCAGACTGTTCATCATTTCTAAACTCTCTGAAGGTCTTTTTTATGGACAACGTTAAAAATCTATTTTGATGAATGTAGACATGAATAGCTCTATTGCCACTTGAACACAAAAACATCTCCTAAGTCTTGTCAAATGAAAGGACTGGAAAAGACAAAAGAGATTTTAAAAATACCAACTTTACTTCAAAGTTGCCGACTACTATTATTAATCCAATACTAAGAAACATCGCTTGGTATTGGTTATCTCTCACAGTTTGCAGCTGATACGATAAAACAAGTCAGACAATAATGTCCCTGCGTCAACATGTGACTTCCTGTTCTCAGTGGGTGGGGCCAAGCAGATGACAAAATATTTATACATCCTGTAGATGTGTTGAGGTTTACAGGTTATCTGGGTTTTGATAGATTAGATGATTTTTGTATAAATTACAAAGATTTTGTGTTTCACAATGAGAAGCCCTGCCCACCTCCCAAAAAAAACACCAAATTTTTGTAACCTATACAAAAATCATCTAATCTAACAAATCATGGGGCCCCATCAGGCTCAGCCCGAATGAGTAGCATGGGTTCCTGTGGGCCCACCACCTGCAGGATGGGCCATATGACTCAGGTGCATGACGCCATGGGTAGTGGCCAAAGGCGGGAACCTTGGCACTCTGACCCTGGCTTACCAAAGCTGGCTATTGGGACATGGAATGTGACCTCTCTGGTGAGGAAGGAGCCTGAGCTTGTGCGTGAGGTTGAGAGGTATCGACTAGATATTGTTGGGCTCACCTCAACACACAGCATGAGCTTGTGAACCAATCTCTTTGAGAAGGGCTGGACCTTATTCCACGCTGGAGTTGCCCATGGTGAGAGTCATAGTTTGTCCATCACAAACATCATGTTCGAAAATAATGGTGTCCATAAGTGCACTTGGCACCAGGACGCCCTAGGTCATAAATCGATGATCGGCTTTGTAGTCGTGTCATCTGATTTACGGCAGTTTGTTTTGGATGCTCAGGTGAAGAGAGGAGCTGAGCTGTCAACTGATCACTACCTGGTAGTGAGTTGGATCAGATGGCGGGGGAAGATGCCAGACAGACCCAGAAGACTCAAATGTGTAGTGAGAGTTTGCTGGGAATGCCTGGTGGAATAACCTGTCAGACAACTTGCACCTCCGAGAGAGCTTTAACCACATCCAAGCTTAGGTAGGAGACATTGAGTCACAGTGGGCTGTGTTCCTCATTTGTTGATGGGAGACTGAAACTGAGCCAATATTCAACTTGTCTGCTAGATTCCTTGGATAGAGAACTTCACTAATTGGCTTTTATGTATGTGAATGTTTCTGTAAAGTGCCCTGATACAACTTTGTTGTGATTTGGCGCTATATAAATAAACTGAATTGAATTGAATTGAAGTGGCTGCCTTGAGCTGTGGCTGCAAGGTTGTTGGTGCTTCTCACAGTGGCCATCCTCAAAACTCGGTGGTAGACACCCTGGGTTAGGGAGGTGTTAAGCTGAAGAATGAGTCCTATTGCTCCTTGTTGGCAGGTGGGACTCCGGAGGTAGCTGAGGAGTACCGGAGGGACAAGCGGTCTGCAGCCTTGGCTGTTGCTGAGGCAAAAGCTTAGATGTGGGAAGAGTTCAGTGAGGCCTTGAATAAAGACTCTCGATTGGATCAGAGGAGAATCTGACAAACCATCAGACATCTGAAGAGGGGAAATCTTTATTAACACTGTGTTCAGTGAAAGTGGAGTGCTGTTGACCTCAACCAGTGATGTTGTCAGGAGGTGGAAGGACTACTTCTCACTAGCATGTCTTCCATGGAGGAAGCTTAGTTGGGGGACATCAGGGTTGGTCCATCCATAGCTGTGGCTGAGGTTGCTGAGGTAGTTAAAGAGCTCCACGGCATCAGGGCTCTGGGGGGTGGATGAGATTCACCCTGATTTCCTTAAGGCTCTGGATGTTGTGGGGCTGTCTTGATTGACATGCCTTTGCAACATCCCATGGACTTTGGGGGCAGTGCCACTGGATTGGCAGAGTGGGGTGGTGATTCCCCTTTTCAAAAAGGGGGACCGTAGTGTGTGCTCCAATTATAGGGGCATCGCTCTCCTTAGCTTCCCTGGTAAGGTCTATTCAGGGGTACTGGAGAAGCAAGTCCGATCGTTGGTCGAACCTCAGATCCATGAGTAACAATGCAGGTTCTGTCCTGGCCATGGAACACTGGACCAGCTTTTTACCCTCACTAGGGTCCTCGAGGGGTTATGGGCATTTGCCCATCCAGTCTACGTGTTTTGTAGACTTGGAGAAGACTTTCCACGGTATTCCTCGAGGTACACTGTAAGGGATGATTCTTGAGTATGGCATTGGGGGCCCGTTGCTTGTTTGGTCACTGTACAATCGGTGCTTGAGCTTGGTTCACATTGCTGGTAGTAAGTCAGACCCCTTGCCGGTAGTAAGTCGGATCTCTTCAGGGTGGGAGTTGGACTTTGCCAGGGCTGCCCGTTGTCACCGATTCTGTTGACAACTTTTATGGACAGAAATTCGCAGTGCAGGCAGGTGGTGGAGGGATTCTGGTTCAGGAGCCTCAGGATTCCATCCTCTGCTCTTTGCAAATGATGTGGTCCTGTTGGTGTCATTGTGCCGTGATCTCCAGCTTTCACTTGAGTGGTTCGCAGACGAATGTGGAGTGGCTGGGATGCAAATCAGCACCTCCAAATCTGAGGCCACGGTCCTCAGTCGGAAAAGGGTGAATTGCTCTCTTCAGGTCGAGGGTGAGGTTTTTCCTCAAGTTGAGGAGTACAAGTAAGGGGGGGGGGGTCATGGAAGAATGGGGCATGAGTTTGACAGACGGATTGGTGAAGCATCTGCAGTATTGCGGACTCTGTACCGGTCCGTTGTGCTGAAGAGGGAGCTGAGCTGTAAGTCAAAGCTCTCTGTTTACTGGTTGGTCTATGTTCCTACCCTCACTTATGATCACAAACTCTGGGTAGTGACCGAAAGAATGAGATTGCGGATACAGGTGGTTGAAATGAGTTTCCTCTGCAGGGTAGTTGGATTCTTCCTTAGAGATAGGGTGAGAAGCTCAGTTGTCTGGTAGAGATCCAGAGAAGAACCACTGCTCCTCCACATTAAGAGGAGCCAGTTAAGGTGGGTCGGGCATCTGGTAAGGATGCCCCTGGGCTCCTCCCTAGGGAGGTGCTTCGGGCATGTCTGACTGGGAGGAGACCCCAGGGAAGACCCAGGACACACAGGACAGGAGAGACTGTGTCTCTCAATTGGTCTGGGAACGCCTTGGAATCCTCCCAGAGGAGCTGGAAGAGGTGGCTTTGGAAAGAGATGTCTGGGCCTCCCTGCTCAGGCTGCTGCCCCTGCGACCCGACTTTGGAACAAGCGGAAGATAATGGATGGATGGACAATAAGAAGCCAAAATTTGAGGTCAGGCTACGCCCACGCCCCAAGACCATAACTTAAAAACTTGATAATTTTTACCCCCTAAGAAGCATGCTGCCCAAGTTTAACATCAATGCTTGAAAATTGCAAGGAGGAGTTAGTTTGTTTAGCTCATAGTGAAACTAGTTCATCCAAAACAGGTGGTGCTGTTGACCTATTGTGCAAAGCCTATTTTTGAGAACTTTATAAAATCTAAAATTTTCACTTTTTAAGGTGTTTTTGTTTTTCGTATTTCAAATTTAATGTGTTTTTGTGTTATTAAAGCTCTCAAAAGGCAATTTATTCAATGGAAAAAACAGTTTGGGCCTTTGCACCCAAGGTGCAAGAAAAATGGAGGCAAACATAATTTTTTTTGATTTTATTCCACCAGACATAAAACCCAACTCAGTGTCGGCCACAGTCCCCTGTCTGCCCGCCTACATCCTCTTCATGTGCATCCGCCACGCTGACTACATGAACGATGACCAGAAGGTGGAGTCTTTACTCACCTCTACCATAAACGCCATCAAGAAGGCCCTGAAGGTCTTGTCTCCACAAATACACACCTGTCCGATATTACACACCTGTAGTGTAGTGTTACGTTAACAATATTGTCATGGGTTCTGCAGAGGAACAACGATGACTTTGAGATGATGTCATTCTGGTTGGCTAACAGCAGCCGGTTGCTGCACTGCCTGAAACAGTACAGTGGAGATGAGGTGAGACCTGAGTCTCGGGTAAACATCAGGACACACCTACACTTAATTTCTGTCTGAGGTCTAATCTGTTCTGTCCATTTCAGACCTTCATGACTCAGAACACCCCTAAGCAGAACGAACACTGTCTGAAGAACTTCGACCTGGCCGAGTACCGGCAGGTTCTGAGTGACATGTGCATCCAGATCTACCAGCAGCTAATCAAGGTGGCCGAGGGCAACATACAACCCATGATCGGTGAGTTACCTATAGAGTTATCTGTCCATGACTGGTGAGTTACCTCCAGATTACCTGTCTGTGATCTGTGAGTTATCTGTAGAGGTAACTGTCAGTGATGGGTGAGTTACCTCTAGATTTACCTGTCAGTGACTGGTGAGTTACCTGTAGAAATTACCTGTCTGTGATTGGTGAGTTACATGTAGAGTGTAGCGATATGGGATGTAAATATATGTTTTGATTATCAGTTATGAGTTAAGCTCATAAGATATGCATGTATTATGCAAATAACCTCATTATTTGGGCACCACCTCTCTCTTGGAGAGTAAAATCAGTCTCTATTTAACCCAAAATAATGTAAATTGAACATGAATTCTTTTCTCGTATTTAAAGGGCATCAAATCAATTAATACACACAGATAAGCCAAAATAATCACAAATTCAAAAAGGTCAATGAATGTGAGCGCTATGGCTGCCCTGGTGGGTAAAGTGTCTGTTCAGGCAGCTCATATGGAAGAGGCCGAGGCCCGCATTGCTGAAGTACAAAGCTCACTAGAAAAAGCAGAAATATCGCTGACTTCGGCTATGAAACAAATTCTGCTCCTTGAGGCCAAAACAGATGACCTAGAAAACTGGGGAAGACAAAAGAACCTGTGTGTCTTTGGCATTCGAGAGGGAGCAGAGGGAAGACAACCACTGTTTGACTTTATTAATAACACGCTACCGAAGTGGCTGGAGCTAGCACCAGACAAGTCATTCACACTGGAGTGGATGCACCGCACACTGGCCTCTGGGAAACCAAACCAAGGCAGAGTGGTTTTGATTTGCTTCTTAAAGTTCCAGGAGAAAGAATTTGTCTACTGAAAGGCGAGGAAAAGAGAAATTATAAACGACGGGGCCAAAATCACGTTTGCACAAGATCTATCAGTGGAGATGGTTCAGAGCCGATGCAGGTTTCAACTGGTGGTGAAGCTGTTTATTGACATCGGCGCATTCTGTGGCTGCCAAAATAACCCCTGCAGCCTTCGGATTCTTCATGGTGGAAAGATCCATCTCTTCTCAACACCTAAAGAAGCCGAAAAATTCCACAAGAGTCTTCCAAAATAAACCATAGCAGATGGCGAGGATCAGTGTCATAAAAATAAGCTGGCTAAGAAACAGGTAAACCGATAAGACCTTCTGTGACTGTTCCTGCTCCCATAAATACTGATCAATGATGGAAATATCTGCAGGACAATTTTTGAGTTAATACGTAGCTTATATAAACATAAGACCCGATCTGCTGCCGCTTGGACCTGTGAGCCGCTGAAGCTGAGCTGCAGCTGTCGGACCTGGGAGCTGTTGCAGCGGAGATCCGGTCTGCCGCCGTTTGGACCTGCGAGCTGCTGGGCCGAGTGAACCAAGAGACCGCGTGGGACCTGGGGGTTGTTGCCGCTAGGCCTCGGCTAACAACATAAGCCTGTGAACCTCGTGGCTAGATCCTGTGCTTCTGAGAATTGATACCAACGATCCAGAAGTATTGTGAGTAATGCTGAGCAAACACAAAACAAGGAATCAAGAGTCGGAAAATAATTCAGAAAATATGGAGGAAGTTAAAAAATCTTTGAACTTTATGAGTGCTGAACTGACAAGATTAGCAACTAAGTGTGAACTCGTGTTTGAAGAAGTGAAACAATTGAAAGAACTGATGATTAATAAAGACAAAAAAAAAAATAGCTGAACTAGAACAAAAAGTAGACGACTTGGAACAGTACACAAAAATAGACAACTTGGTGATCACTGGACTGGAAGTTAGGAACCGAACTTATGCAAGAGCTGTTACTGGTACTAACACAGCAGAAGATGCACCACAGGAAGAACTACAGACTCTGGAGGAGCAAGTAGTGAATTTTTTACAAAACAAAGACATTGACATCGAACATGAGGACATTTCAATCTGTCGCACCCTGCCCAACAAATCAGATAAAGCCAAACCATCCATAGTCATAAAGTTCATTAGCAGGAAATCAAGAAACAATGTAATAATGCAAGCAAAAAAACTGAAGGGAACAAATGTTTACATAAATGAACATCTAACTAAAAAAAAATGGAAATATTGCACGTGAAGCAAGGTGGTTGAAAAAAAAGAACAAAATAGCATCAACTTGGACATGAAATGGAAACATTTGGATCAAAATACATGAAGGATCTCAGGCTAAAATAATAAAAGACCTGAAGGATCTGGAAAAACTAAATGAGCTCAGGAGATGACAGATGATAAATCATTGACATAACTTCACAAACAAGAAATTAACAAAATATAAAATGAACAAATACATTAAAATATGGCAACATACGGAGACTTAGTTTAAAATATACAATGTTGAAGATGTGATTGATACAAATTTTTTCCCTGTAATAAAAGACTGTGAATATTACAATGAAGAACAGTTTAATGACATCAATATAACAAATGGAGGTCTCTTTATTATTCACTTTAATAGTAGAAGTTTAAATGCAAATATATCCAAAATAACAGATAATTTAAAACAGCTAAACAGAACCTTTACAATAATAGCACTGTCAGAGACATGGCTCAACGATGAAAACACAACTAATGTTCACATGGAAGTGTATGAATTATATCATGTGAACAGAAGCAACAAAAGAGGTGGTGGAGTGGCTCTATTTGTTAAAAATGAAATAAAATGTAAATTAATTAATGAAATGTCAATAATTGTTAATATAATGGAAATAATAATAGAAATAATAAACAAGAATGATAAAAACATATTGATAAGTTGTGTATATCAATCTCCAGGATCAAATATAGAAATATTCACTGATAAAATTGTACAAGTATTGGACAAGAGTTTTAATAAAAGCATTTTTTTCTGTGGAGACTTTAATATTGACCTGGGAAATAAAACAGATTCGAATAACATCAGTACATTTACAAATTCATGTAATGATTGCAGTGTACCCAGAATGAAAGATCTGGACCGAACAGATACCAGGACTCATATAATAGTTTAAAGTGTTTATTTACAGGTTGGTGATATATACACACAATATGAATGAGGGGAACGGGAACACCTGGGGAGAGAGCGATGATTTAAAGTGCTGCGGTTGAATGGGAATATATGTTGTAGATTTATTCTTACAGTGTGAAGCAGGAGAAGGTATTATCCAGATGGTGTCCAGTGGCACAAGGTGAAACAATGAGTAGATTGAGGCAAGTGGTGGAAGGCATCCAGCAATTGTAGCTAGGCAGGAGGAGTCACAATTCATGTGGAACTCAGGCAGGGCAGGTACAGCAAGATCCAAACTCTGAGGAAGCGCAGAAGAAAAAAAAACAATATTAGTCTTTACTAATATCATTGAGAACTGGCCAGAACACAACTACCGTTGGTAGGCAATGTCCCAGCGCCTGCAGAGTGGTTCCTGAATCTTCTTATACTCCTCCTGGGTGTTGAGCTGATCATCTGCAGCTGGAGCCAATTAGGAGTGATGAGGAGAGAGAAAGGCAGGGTGCAGGGCAGGATCCTTACAATTCATTGTATAGTTTAAATCTTTATCCGTTAATATCAAAACCAACAAGAATTACAACTCATAGTGCTACAATAATCGATAATATTTTCACAAATGTAACAAATGGGGATGTGATGGGAGGTATTTTAACGAGTGATTTGAGTGATCATTTACCAGTTTTCACAATTTATAAAAATGATCAAAACATTACAAAAGAAATTACAATTAAGAAGAAAACAATAAACACATCAAAAAAAGCAATGGACAAATTAAAAGATGATTTACATAAACAAAACTGGAAAGACGTGAATGTTGATGATGTGAACAGATCATATCAATCAACCTTTATTTATACAGGTAAATCCCATTGAGCCTCGAGGACTCATTTACAAGAGAGACCTGATTTCAACAAAGAAAGATGACAACAATGGACAACAGCAACAACAATAAGCAGTTATAAAAACTCATACTACAGTTTTTTTTTTTTTTTTTTTTTTAACAAAGGAAAAAGGTAACAAAACAAAAAAACAGCTAGATTCCAAGACAAATGTAGAAAACTAAAAACAGGAACATGTCTGCATTGGACCCTGCCAGGAGTCCAACAGATTCTTAAAGACACTTAGAGAGGTCAAGGTCGAGAGCTTCATATCTTTTTGTAAGATATTCCAGGAAACAGGAGCGGAGTAGGAGAAGGCCCTTTTGCCTAGTTCAGTCCTCACTGAGGGAACACTGCAGGTAATAATGTCCTGAGAGCGCACTCCGTAGCTGCACTCACGCAGAGACATGTAGGAGGAGATGTATGAAGGCAGCAGACCAAGAAGTGATTTAAAGATGAAAATGTACCAGTGAGAGAGTCTGCGTGAAGTTAATGATGTCCAGTTAACCAATGAATACAGAGTGCAGTGGTGGGTACGATAATCACAGCCAGTTATGAATCTTAGTGCACCATGATAGACAGCATCCAACATCTGCAGGGTTCTTGTAGGAGCGTTCATGTAAATAATGTCACCAAAATCAATTGAGGGAAGGAAAGTCACGGATACAAGGCGTTTTCTAGCATTCAGGGTTAGACAGGATTTGTTTCTGAAAAAGAAACCCAGTTTAACTTCCAGTTTCTTTACCAAGTTTTCCACATGGAGCTTAAAAGAAAGATGTGAGTCGACCAAGATACCCAAATATTTATAGGAATCAACAAACTCAATGGGGACACCATTTGAAGATAAAATCGGAGGAAGAACTGCTGGGACCAACTTCCTATTTGAAAAAAGCATCCCTTTGGTTTTTTCGGCATTTAGGACAAGTTTGAGGCGGAACAAATCAGTCTGGATGTAGTTAAATGCAGATTTCAAAAGCTGGAAAGCCTTAGCAACTGTTTTAGCTCAACAATAAACAACTGCGTCGTCAGCATAGAAATGTATGGATGCATTAGGGATGTTTTTACCTACATTATGTATGTAGATTGTAAAGAGGGTGGGTCCTAAGACTGAGCCTTGTGGTACACCATTGTTGAA